TCGGCATGATATATTTATACAGGGGTTAAATTTTCGAGTCCAGACCTACTAGCCGGTAACAAAACTTACTCTCCACCAGTTGCCCCACCCAACCTTGACCGGGTCCACCCCCAACCCCACCCACAGTCTGCCCCAAACCCCACCCGGCCCCCCCCCCCAACCACGCCCCCTTAAAGCTTATGAAATTACATTTTTCTTTAGAATAAATAGTCGAAAATATAAAACTGTACACAGTAATGTATATCCCAGCTCCCCTGTACTCCATTATAGTGATATGACATATATACAGTAAGGTATATCCCAGCTCCCCTGTACTCCATTATAGTGATATGACATGTACACAGTAATGTATATCCCAGCTCCCCTGTACTCCATTATAGTGATATGACATGCACACAGTAATGTATATCCCAGCTCCCCTGTACTCCATTACAGTGATATGACATGTACACAGTATGTATATCCCAGCTCCCCTGTACTCCATTATAGTGATATGATATGTAGACAGTAATGTATATACCAGCTCCCCTGTACTCCATTATACCGATATGACATGTAGACAGTAATGTATATCCCAGCTCCCCTGTACTCCATTATAGTGATATGACATGTATACCGTATGTATATCCCAGCTCCCCTGTACTTCATTATAGTGATATGACATGTATACAGTAATGTATATCCCAGCCCCCCTGTACTCCATTATAGTGATATGACATGTACACAGTATGTATATCCCAGCTCCCCTGTACTCCATTATAGTGATATGACCTGTAGACAGTAATGTATATACCAGCTCCCCTGTACTCCATTATAGTGATATGACATATATACCGTATGTATATCCCAGCTCCCCTGTACTCCATTATAGTGATATGACATGTATACCGTATGTATATCCCAGCTCCCCTGTACTCCATTATAGTGATAGGACATGTATACAGTAATGATTACTGTATACATGTCCTATCACTATAATGGAGTACAGGGGAGCTGGGATATACATTACTGTATACATGTCCTATCACTATAATGGAGTACAGGGGAGCTGGGATATACATTACTGAGTAATGTATATCCCAGCTCCCCTATTTTTTTTTTCTTCTAAGTCCGCAATCCCAGCTCCCTTATACTCCATTATAGTGATAGGACATAATGTATACAGTACTTACTGTCCCCCCGAATCCCCCCGCGAGCGTGGAGAGGGTGTCTCCTCTCAGCGGAGGAGAGCGGACCTCTCCTGCACCTGTCCCCTCGGCGGCAGTGCCACAGATTCTGGAAACCGGAAGTTGTAAACCGGAACTCGGCTTCACAATGAGGCTTGGAGCGCAGGTGCAGTCGCTCCATGCTTCATCTGTGCTCACCGCTCGCCACAGAGGACATTCTCCTTGCATTGGGCGAGCGGCTTTTTCAAGCCCTGATATATTACACATAGCAGCACTTAATTTCTAGCTCTCAGGAATTCCTATCCTTTTATCTTTGTTTCTGCTCTTAGCGCCCGGTCATACCGGTGCAATTTCAGGTGTGCTTTGCAAATTGAAATCGCACCTGAAATCACATCTAAGTCACCAGTCGCACCACTGTGAATTAAAATTGCGCAATTTGTGTGCGATTTCAGGTGCAATTTCTGAAGACTTTATTACTATTTGTGAAGATTTTCAACAATTTCCTGCAATTTGCAGTGCGATTTCCATTATATTCTATGTACCTGAAATCGCAACAAAACTGCAGAAAAAGTAATGCAAGAACTACTTTATAAATCGCGCTGCAGCAAATTGCACGTGTTAAGACACTAACATACATTAGATGCGATTTCATATGTGATTTCAATTTGCAAATCGCACTTGAAATCGAACCGGTGTGACTGGCACTTAACCCTGGTTCACGCCGCCACGATTTCAGGTGCGATTTGGGAATTGAATTCGTACCTGAAATCAGATCTAATGAATGTGAATGTCAGTGTCTTAAAAGTAGTTCTTGTATTACTTTTTCTGCAGTTTGTTGCAATTTCACATACATAGACTACAATAGAAATCGCACTGCAAAATGCAATGGAAAGCGCAAGAAATTGTTGGGAAATCTTCACAAGTTGTGAACAAATCTTTAGAAAACTCGGTGAAATCGCAAACAAAACGTGCAATTTTAAATCACATCCAGTGTGAACCAAGCCTAAATCACCAGTCACACCGCTGCAATTTAAAATCTCACAATTTCTGTGCAATTTCAGTGCAAGTTAAGGTTATATTCTATGTATGTGAAATCACAACAAAACTGCAGAAAAAGTCATGCAAGAACTACTTTAGAAATTGCACTGCAGCAAATGACAAATGTTAAGACAATGACATTCACATTCATGAGATGCAATTTCAATTCCCAAATTGCACTTGAAAACGCACCGATATGACTGGGCACTAAAATGTGAATGTCAGTATCCTAACATGTGCGATTTGCTGCAGCATGATTTCTAAAGTAGTTCTTGCATTACTTTTTCTGCAGTTTTGTCGCAATTTCACATACATAGAATATAATGAAAATCGCACTGAAAATTGCAAGAAATCCTTGAAAATCTTCACAAGTAGCAATAAAGACTTCAGAAATCACATAGAAAATTGCACACAAAAGGCACAATTTTATATCGCAGTGGTGTGACAGGTGACTTAGGCTGGCCCATACACTATACAATTTTCTTACAATTTTCTGCCCAACTTCCTTTATATATACCTTCAGCTATGTAGTGCAAAATCCTGGATACAATTGAAAGTGCTGTTTGGTTTTGACCTCATATTATATGGTTTTTGGTAAATCTAAAGCAAATTTCTCAAATTCACAAATTTCTCAAGAAAATGGTATAATATATGGCCAGCCTTAGGGTTCATGTACACGGGACGTTTGGAAAACACTTCTGAACGATGGAAACTGACTGCTGGAAAACGTAGGTTAAAAAATGTCTGTTTAGCCGTGTTTGCATACCGCGTTTATGCGCTTTTGCGTTTAGAAGCATTTTTTAAAGATAACCTCAGGAGACCTTCCAAAACGCAGAGAATGCACTGAAAAACAGTAAAAAATTAACTATTTCAGACATTTTGAGAGAGAAAGAGCAGAAGGAAAAACTGTGACATCGTGTTCAGGCACTTCATCACAGGCATTGAACACTAAGGGCTCATGTACACTGCAGCTGATAAACTCACGTTTAGGAGCGGTTCTGCGTTTTTTTCAGCAGCCCCTGAACTCTCCCTAATGTTTTCCTATGTGTCCATGTACACACAGGGGTGTATTTACCACATGGCAAACACTGCACTGCCCCTCAGAAAAAGGGATGGAAGAAAGGACACAAACGGCATGGGGACCTGGTGGGTTCCAAAAGAGGCTGCGGGTTTCATTACATTTTACCCTCAGCCCGACTCTCATTCCAGGGGATGTCAGGAGCTGCAAAGATGAGTGTGTTTCTTTCTCTCGCCATGGGGGATGGTGGGTGGAGTAAGGAGGGCAGTGGTAGTGGAAGGCTGTCTCGGGTGGGGGCAGGGGTGTTCTTGGTCAATGTCAGGCTCTCTCTATGGGGGGGCGTGCAAATTTTGTGTTGCCTAGGGCAGCACAAAACCTAAATACACCACTGTGTACACATCTTTCTTTTACAGTCCCTTACGGGCATTTGAGTTTACAGTCGTTTTTTTGGACACAGAAAACTTGCATTCAGCAGTCAATTTTATCAGCGTTTCAAATGCAAAACACTTGTAAATGAGGCAAATCACGTTTACAAGTGTTTGCATCTGAATTTTTTTTTTTAATTTTTCCAGTTTACTATGCTGTTCAGAGCCTTTTTTCATCATGAAAAATGCATGCAAAGCCTTTTCAAGGTACTCAAATGGACAAAACACTGAATTGTAATGACCAATTCACACACTCAGACCTCTCCCACCCTTGGAAACGATATGTTAATGATAATTCACACCTCAAATTCCTCATAGCGACCCCCTGCCAGGTGACCTTAATGATTCAATCCACCAGACACCTTTCCCACCCTTGGAAACAAAAGATATGTTAATGATCATTCACACCTCAAATTCCTCCTGAAGACCCCCTGCCAGGTGACCTGAATGACTTGCTCCAGCAGAGACCTTTCCCACCCTTGGAAACAAAAGAAATGTTAATGAGCAACTCACACCTAAGGTAATCTCAACACGTACTGCTGTCTCTGCTTCTACTCTGTATTTCTCTGAAACAATCTGAAATAATAATTTACCACTTTTCAGGGCATTCTGGTCATTTGGAAGGTTCTCCTGTGCTTATCTTTAAAAAACGCTTCTAAACGCAAATGCGCATAAACGCGGTATGCAAACGTGGCTAAACAGACGTTTTTTAACCTACATTTTGCAGCTGTCAGTTTCCATCATTCAGAAGTGCCCCATGTACATGGGGCCTAAGAGTTAAAAAAAATTTAAAACGCTTATAAATGCGATTTTACAAGTATTTTGCGTTTGAAACACTGATAAAATCGACTGCTGAACGCAAGTTTGGTGCGTTCAAAAAGACGATTGTAAACTCAACTGCCTGTAAACAAAGATTTGCTGCGTTTACAAGCATTTTGCATTTGAAACACTGATAAAATCGACTGCTGAACGCAAGTTTGGTACATTCAAAACAAAGATAAACAAAGATGTGTACTTGGACACATAGGGAAACATTAGGGAGAGTTCTGAAAAAAAAACGCTGAACAGCTCCTAAATGTGAGTTTATCAGCTGCAGTGTACATGAGCCCTTAGTGTTCAATGCCTGTGATGAAGTGCCTGAACATGATGTCACAGTTTTTCCTTTCAGGAGTAATAACACAAGCTGCCCATGTGACTGTGCTGTTCATCCAATAGAGTAGCAGGACGTGTGATGGGGGTTGAGAGAGAGGCTTGGAACGCGGAAGTCCAAAGTCCTGCAGTAAGAAGCACAGTGTGTGTGCTGACCATGACTAGATCGTCCTGACCTGCTGGAGAGTAGCACTGCATGTCACTATGGCTAAAGCAGTAGCTGGAATGGTGAATGTCTTGGAGTCATACAGAGGGAGAGACAGACTGGTGAGTGAGGCTTGTGGCAGCCTGGACAGGGTGCTCTCATAGACTAAAGACAAATGCTAGCCCCCCATTTCATGTGGAAACGAACACCTCCTAGGTTGTCTTATATTTTGCTTACTCAGGCATTTAGATTTATGTGAAAATCTACAGCATGCAAGAAGAAGGAAATCCAGCAGATACTTCAAGCAGGTCTGGAGGCATTTTATGACAGACTGTGAGCAGGCAGGATTTTATTGCAGAAGAGCCATGCGATCAGTCTTCTGCGGGATGTCTGACTCCTGCACATTCCCAGTGACATCATCCCACACCAGCCAATGGACCAGGAATCCAAACCATTAGAGAGCAGGTGAGTAAAGTGCCTTGTGTTCCACTTTAAATGATAAGTTCACCTTTTAGTAAAACAAATAATAAATGCACATTTTTTTTGCAGGTAAACAAAATATGCATTTATTATTTTTGTCTGTAGGAGCTTGGAAAATGTTGCACTAGCGATCAGCAGATCTCTGGTGCCATGTAGGTCTCCTGCAGCTCTGTCAGTGTATCTGCTTGGATGTACAGGCAAGCAGATACACTGACAGGAAGAATGAACGGCGGGTAGTTTATTTTTAATTTTTTTTATTTCAGGTACTTATATAGCGCCGTCAATGTACGCAGCGCTTTACATATATATTATACATTCACATCAGTCCCTAACCCTCAAGGGGCATACAATCTAAAGTCCCTACCTTACATTCATACAAATGATGATTGAGGGCTACAAGCTGGTGGCTGCTAGGGCTGTCAGGACTTGTAGTCTCTCATTCACAGAGAACTGTGAATGAGTGACGTGGCTGGGCGAGCAGAGCCGATTTTTAAAAACATTTGACAGCTAGCGAGAGGGGTAAGATCCTCCGCTAGCTGTCAAAGCAGGGAGCAGCGGCGGTCTGATCGTAATATGTTGCATGTACATCCTAAATATGGGTGTAACATGTTACGAAAAGGTGAACTTATCCTTTAAAGCACATTCACACTAGCCCATATGCTAAAATGCTGCAGACTGGTGTGCGTAGGAGTCATACTTTTGAGTTGCAACACAAGGCAACGTTTCCTCTCTTTAAAGGAAATCTAGGGCCACATCACACTCATCTCATTTTATAACATCTGCATTTTAATGGTAATACAAGCAATAGTTATATTTGACAATCCAATATAAGCTTCTTGAAATATCCTGTTTCATGTTGTGAGTTCTGCCTGTCTGCTGGTCATCTTTTTCCACAACCTCCTGGATTCCCTGCATTCTTTGTAGCTTCTTTTATGCTATTTACTTTCCATTTATTAAGGAATACATATCCCATGGTACCTTGCTGCCTGCAAGCAGTTATTCCTGTAATGACTCCGCCTCTTGAAACTCCTCCTCTCATCATCTCTCTAGTTCAGAAGGCAGGCTCTCTGAAATTTGTGACACAGCAGTGCCTATTCACAGGGAATAGTGAATACGTATATTCAAGGAGGTAAATGTGTGGGGATCATAAAAAAAAAAAGTAAGTTTACAGTCTTCAAGATCATTTAGATCTGTGGTCTCCAAGCTGCAGCTGTCACAGAGCAGATCGGCACTGATGATCAGTGCCGCCCAGCAGTTGCTCCCATCAGTGCTGCCCTGCCTGATTTTGCGTACCCCTGCCACCCTGTAGCAGTATTTTTGCTATAGGGTGGAGGGGAAGTAGTTAATTTTGTATCTGTTCATTCCTGTAATGAATAAACTTCTGTCTGCAGATGAAGTCCGTTATCCAGTTAAGCTCCACCCTATAGCAGGTTTACTGCTACAGGGCAGACGCTCTGCGCAGAATCACCATGTGGCTTTGCTTCCCAGATATGGGGTGCTCGCACGCTGCCCTACCCATGCTGCCATTGGTTGTGTGTAAACAAGACATATCTCTCTCCTGTCAGCATGGACATGCTGCTTTCTGTCTCTCTGCACAGTAGAGAGAGAAAGCAGCATGTCTCCCTAATAAGGGGGACACAGTGTAAGCACAACACACAGTTAACCCTTTGATTGTCCCAGATGTTAACCCCTTCCTGCTCAGTGTCATTATTACAGTCTCAATGCTTTTTATTAGCACTGATCATTGTATTAGTGTCACTGGAGTTGTCAGTGGCCATTAGTTCCCACTCAGTGTCAGAATGCCCGCCGCAGTCCCGCTATAAGTTGCTAATTGCCACCATTACTAGTATGAAAAAACAAATAAATAAAAATTCCAGTATATATACCGCCATTTGTAGACGCTATAACTTTCACTGAAACCAATTAATTTATACGTATTGGAATTTGGTTTTAGCAAATACATGTAGCAAAATACATTTTTGACCTAAATTTTTGAAGAAATTACATTTTTTTTATTGGATATGTTTTATAGCAAAAAGTTAAAAATATTGTTTTTTTTTTTAAGTGCAAAAAATAAAAAATGCAGAGACGATCAAATAACACCGAAAGAAATCTCTCTTTGTGGGGAAAAAAAGTGTTTTTTTAATTAAATGTTCCTCTGTTTAACCCCTTATTAACCTTTAGTTAATTAACTCATTATTCTCCTTTCATTTTATATTTTCCTGATGATTTTTTTTGTTTCTAAGTTATGTAGCTAATAATATTTGAACTTTTTTTTGTTTGTTTTGTTTGTTGATATTTTTACACCTTTAACATATATTTACAAATTTCACATTTAAAAAAAGTGCAAAAGTGAAAAAACCCACCCGCTTTCCAGTGTTTTGTACCAGAGTAATTCTTTTAGTGTTATTTTAAAACAGTAACACTATTTTTAAACTAACACTGCTCAAAAATTGAAAAAGTGTGTTTTGTTATGTTTAATTGTTTAAGGATTGTTGCACAACAATATTCACAAAAAGAAAGCCTTGTTTGTCCTAAAAAAAGCAATATACCTATTAAGTTTTTATTTTAAGTAATGACAAAGTTATCACCGAATAAACAGGTCAGAAGCAGAAATGTAAAAATTGCTCTGGTCCATACGGGGTGAACAGGTGTGAGAGGCAAAGTGGTTAATTACGGGTCTGAACACAGCTGCATTGTTTTCCATGGAATCATTCACACAGGTGCATAAACATGCATTGCATTCAGATCCTTAAGGGCTCGTTCACACTTGGCTGTTTTACCAACGCGTGCCAAACGCCCCTATAGCATTTGGCAAGCCTTGGTCCTGCGTTTGCGGAGCGTTTTTTAATGCTCGGCAAACGCCGCATGTGCGATTTAGCGGCGGTTGCTAGGCGTTTGCCGAGTGTTAATAAAGCCCCACAAATGCCTATAATGCAGTTTGAGTGGTGTTACCGCTCCGTAAACGCCGGCCAGGCGTTTTTTTTTCTTTTTAGCTTACCAATTCTTAGATGAGATGAATGCAATAGTTTTTTTTAGGCTTTCTTTCCTTCATTTTCATCTGGAGATCTGGCTATTAAGGCTAGGCTCACATATATGTGGGTACAGGAATGCATATAAATTGCACACATTCCCACAGCCACAAGCAAACCAAGTTGCTCAGTCTTCACTTTTCTTTTCGTTTGTTAACTTTTGGGAGGTCCTTCTTTTCATGGGTTTATGTCACTGCTTGTGTAATGTGAACACTTCCTAGTGGCTGCCCAGCAGCACAGTCCACTCAGGTTGCAGAAGAGAAGTGAAGTCAGGCGAGGGGTCTGTAGGGTTTTGGGGGTCTCAAGCAGATTGTGAGAGCCGGATTAGCGACCCACCCCACCCCTACTCCCCCTCCCCTGCACCCAGAAATGGCAGACTTATATCCTGCTGTATCCTAATATATCTTGCATCCCCAGGTAAGAAGGAAAAAAAATATTAAGTCTTGCAGGATGGGTTGGAGATGAGTGGGAGAGAGGGTTTAAAGTTTGTTCATATTTTGCCCAGAGTGGGCTTTAACCACTTGCCTTCCTGAGGATTTACCCCCCTTCCTGACCAGGCCTCTTTTTGCTACTCGGTGCTGCACTAATTCATCTGATAATTGCGCGGTCATGCAATGCTGCACCCAAACGAAATTTGCGTCCTATTTTTTACACAAGTAGAGCTTTCTTTCGGTGGTATTCGATCACCTGTGCATTTTTCACGCTATAAACAAAAAAAGACCAAAACTTTTGAAGAAAAACAATATTTTTTACTTTCAGCTTTAAACAATATATAGTAAACTCAAAGTTAGTTATAAATTTAGGCCAAAATGTTTTCTGCTACATGTTTTTGGAAAAAAAAAATCCCAATAAGTGTATATTGATTGCTTTGTGTGAAAGTTATAGCGTCTACAAACTAAGGTATAGATACTGCAATTTATGCCATTTTTTTTGCTATACAGCGCTGCCCTAGTTTAATGGACAATTGCGCGGTCATGCAATACGGTACATAAAAAAATTTATGTTGTTTTTTTTCACACAAATAGAGCTTTCTTTTGGTGGTATTTGATCACCTGTGCACTTTTTATTTCTGGCGCTATAAACAGAAAAAGTTTTGAAGAAAAAAAGTTTTTTTGAAAAAAAAACAATATTCTCTCATTTTGGCAAAACTACATCCCCCAGAGGAAGCTACAAGTCCCTGTAGCATAACGCGTAGGGGAGGGGCAGTGACGTCACCACGCATCCGCATTCAGACACAGCGAGTATTAACAGTGTGCGCAGGCACACCAACAAGGCTGATCTCACTGCTATCCGCGGTTATATATATGAAAAGCGCATTTCATTTTAATCACATGTGAGTGTATTACTAGCGCACATTAAAGTCTTTTATCCCGGATAAGACCCTATGTACCTCTTTTTATTTTTCCTTATGATCCATGGGAGGAGAACTGGATTAAGGAGAGTGCTGGGGAAGGAGAGACCTCGTTTACCACAGTGATTCACAGTGCAGCTTCTATTGTTAACCATTGTAGCTATACAGCACATGCTATTACAAAAGAGAGTATACTGCATTCATTCTTCTGTTGAACTTATAAGGAATTTGATATCATCTCAGTGCATATGGGACTATT